ATTTCCCACTCAACAATATAACTGTTATATAATACACGTGTTATATAACAATTATATTATTGAGTGGGAAATTACAACTAACAATTATATAACTGTAACTTGGTGTTTGCTGGGATGGATATATTTTAAGTATTATAATGATTATACTTCCAATAAAGAAATACTATGCTCAGAATGTCTCATGTGTGGTGAATTTCTAACTGCTACTGAATCTAGAACAGAACATATCGAAAAAAAGCATTCTGAAAAAGAACTACGTAATTTCATAGATTATCCGTGGATAAAAAAATATTTCATACAAAGTGATGACACTACTGAAATCAAGTGTACTAATTGTTGCACAAATATGACCATTAACATTTTTAATTATGTGTCTGATCATATAATTGCAAAACATTCGGAAAAATTGCAATCGAATATTTCAAAAAAAGACATGCAACCATAGAGATATAAGACTAGAGGGAGCGAGTCGTATGCTAGCACGTAAGAGGCCGCGATATAGCGATAGAAAGAGAACGCTGCATAAGGGCCCCTCTGTCTTTGTCTATACGCGCATGCGCTTTTGCGCTGCTCATTGTCTATAACGCATTTAGGTTCTAACATCTTGAACAGTTTGAAAAGATAACCTTAAAGAAAAATTCCCAAAATTACAAACTTATTACAGCAAACAGTTTACTATAAGAATAATAAGAAATATTAATATGTACTTACAAGTGAAAACTACGATTGGAAATAGGAGATGCTTCTATTTTGCATATGAAGCATTTTTTTGTCATCTTAGTAATCAATCAAGAGACACTAGTGTCTCGCGCTAATTGTAAAAGTTATGTAATTATCTAGAAAATAACATACAGAACCAAATACAAGCAGAGATACACAATTTTCCACGATCTACTACATATGCGCACGCTCCGCACGCATATATTCCATGATCTGCACATGCGCACATAAACAAAGACAGAGGGGCCCTTATGCAGCGTTCTATTTCTATCGCTATATCGCTCTTTCAGCTCGTTCGCTCCCTCTAGTCTTATATCTCTATGCATGCAACAACTGTGGCAAAATTACAGAAATTCGCGAAATTTTCAAGTACAATGCCAACATTGCGATTTTATATCTTATTACATCAATACAACTAACTTTAATGAATACGTAGAACAGCATATTGAAATAAATAATTACGAAGAAGCAAGCGGAAAAAAATGGCCGTTCATGTTTTTCAACTATATTAACTCAACTACCTTAAAATGTTGTTTTTGTACTGATAATTATGCACCTAAACATAAATTGACAAATCACTTGAATCGGAATTTTTCTGAGAAACCGGATCACTTTATCGACTACGGCTGGATATGAAAATACTGTACAAAAGTTGGTGATTTTGAAGTGGAATGTTTTTGTCAAAAAAAAATATCTCTTGACATTTCCTTATGGTATTTTGATCATCACATTGCAGCTACACATCCGAACAAGCTGCAAAGTACACATAGAACGCATGACACAACTAGACCATCAGGAAGCCAACCAAACTGAAGAAAACAGGTGACAATATGTTTTCTTGATATTATTGTTAATATTTATGTGTATAATTAATCTCTTACTTTTTCAAATTGTATTTAATTTAGTAAAAATTTAATGAGAATAGCAATAACCAAAAAATTTGTTTTTAATAAATATTAAAATTAAATTTACATAAGTTATCCAGAATTTGACAATGGAATGATGATAAGGAAGTTCAACTAGCATCACAACCAACGACAACGGCAATTTTAATTTTGACGATTCAAATGATTTGAAGTACACGAGAAAAGTGGCATATCTTTTGACGTATAATTCGTTTTACTTTTATAAGTTATAAATATGTTCATAAAGTTATGTGTCACATAAATAACAAGTAATGGAACTTATTATATACGCTTCCAAAATTTTATTTAAGTGTACTATGTTTTCAATTTATAAACTACGTTTATAAGTTTAAAAAGTAAAATGATTTTATAAATTAATTATCGATTTTTCTGTAATCATTAAACTATCGGCGATTTATTTAAGTGCATTTAAAAATATTTTATTCCTATTTCATTTTTTTATAAAAATCGTCGATCATGCATTTTTCATATTTTATACTTAAATTTATTATAATAACTTCTGTAAAGATCGCCGCAAAGTAATATAATAATTGTCAGTAAAATATCTCAATTTTTAATTCTTCCAGTTGTACTCCTTCGAAAATTGTGATATATAATATAACTAAACGACACGCATGTCTTCAAGAATAATCATGGTAGAAATTAGTTCCTTATTAATAAGATGGCGTTTGGAAACAAATATGTGTGTTGTGACATAATTTCTTTATTAAATTTCTTTTTAAACTCCAAATTATTATTTAATGTAATATTTTTTAATTGAATTTCTTCTGCATTTTTTTCATCCTTCTGATCTAATATCCTTTTTGTTCTAATCATAATAACAGAAAATAATATAAAATATATTTGATAATTAAAAACTTATCCAATTTTTGCTAAAAAATGTGCAAAATACAAAAATTATAACAACATGTTCTTTCTTTCATTCATCTTTAATTAAGCTTATTTAAGAATTAAACACACTTAACATAATGTAGAATTATGAACAATAAGGTTAATGAAATCAAATAATTTTTAATTTACAATAAGGTGCAATAAGAAACAAGTTATATATCGCGATGCAATTATAACTTTGATTGAAGAAGATATAAAGATGGCACTATCATTATTTCAAATATAAATTTTCTATTTTTTTTTTTATAGTAATATCCAAACATCTTGTATAATAAGTATGAATTATCATGTGCTGCATTTTAATTTTAACATTTTCAATGGGTTAGAGATTACAAATTAATGTACGGACATTTTTAAACTATACTTGTATCTAAGGTGCAACTTGCGAGAAACTTACCCTGGTAATGTGACTGGTACTGCTTGACAAGCAAAGCCATTGCATGCGTTTTTTCTCCTTTTTGTATTATATGTATGATAATACCGTAAATTTATATTTACTTCAATATATTGCATTTACTAACGCAATTGCTGAAAAGTTAGATTACATAAGAATCAATATTTTCGCAATCCTTATTTTTTCTGGAACTTCCATTCAAAATTTGTTTTCAAAAAAATTCTTAAGCCAGACAATTTTTTGGAAATGGAAAATTGCAGATTGATTAAAATTTGAATTTTCAGGTCAAAGTTAACTAACAGTAAAACTAGGATTATTTAACTGATCAAATTTTAATTGTTAATTTATAATCTCAATCTCTGAAGTATAATCTGATATGAAATTGTCTAATTCAATACAGTAATCTTTTTTGAAGAAAAAGTTACATTATAATTTGATATACTTGTGTTTTATAAATATTATTATACTTGCAAATCTAATATGAAAATACTATTAGGTTGTGTAATAAATAATGGTGCATTTTTCAAATAAATTTGTGTACTTTATACGACTGGCAAAACACATTTAAACTAACACAAAATTAAATATTTATTTGTCAATTAATTTGTCAAAGTTATAATCAATTGTACTCATATCATTACCTTTCATCTAGATAATTACGTAAAAAAAAAAAAAAACAATTTATTAAAAAATTCCAAATTATTCATTAGAATCCAATATAATATAACGTCACAGATTAATAAGTTGACAAATAATTAGGTTACAAGCCTATTACGTTTTTAATTAGTGGATTTTAATTTACAATATTTATCAAATATAATTTTTTTAATTATTTATTAATTAATTATTTGTAATTAGTTTAAAATTTTTAATAAGCGAAAAAAAAGAATACAATCAATAAAACACGCATCAATAAACTTTTAACTTTTTACACACATACATATACATTACAGAGTAGAGAACTACATATGCATACTCTTATGTTCTCCCAATTAATGTATTAATTGTAATTTATAACAGTATCAATAAGTTCAGTAAATTATGCGTATTTCTTTAATATTATTATCTCAAATTAGTTTTATTTGAGATGTAAATAATTAATTTTGTATTATTTCTTAAAAAATTATTCGTGTAAATAATATGTTGTAACATCTTTTTCGCGGAATAGTAACTGCTATACCAACTGGGGATAATGTTACAGCGCCGCTTCATGACTTGGACTTCATAATTTCAACTGACGTATCAATATTTACATTCAATTGGAAAACCATACGTATTTCTTCGTCCTCTTGTACCGTATTCAGTTGACTGCGTCCTGCAAGAAGAAACGGACACAATGTCAGAAGTTAGTTTAACAAAAAAAAACGTGTGGCAGTATTACGAAAAAGTGTCGGGTTACCAAGCAAAATGCAGATTTTGCAGGTATGAAGTGATTTACATCAATATAAATTTTAGTAAACATATAGAAAAGCATCCTCGTATAATAGAATACGAAAAATATAAAGGACGACAAGAATGGCCATGGATATGTTTCAAGTACAACGATATTTCCACCTCACAATGTGTTTTCTGTTGTGAGAATATCCGATCTGATTTTCAATTTTTAGCTAATCATTTAAAACAAAAGCATTCTAATGAAGTGGAGAGTTACATAATTTACGATTGGAGATGGAAATATTTTGCGAAAGTTAATGATTTTAAAATTGAATGTACCGTGTGTATCTACGGTGAATCATTTATTTCTCTGTCAAGCAGTATAAGGAGACATTTAGTACGTTACCATTTGGAAGAATTAAAAAATGCACAAGAAGCACGCGACATAGCTCTTTCGTTGGAAACCGTTCGAAATTTAAAAATTATGGAAATTAAAGAAAACATGTGGGAATATTATACCAAAGTGACGTATTTTCAAGTAAAATGCAAATTCCAAAATACCCATCTATTTCCTAGTAATAGTTTTTTTCAATTTTATACGCATGTAAAACAAGAACATGAAGTAATCTGTAAATGGGAAGAGGATCACATAATTGAAAAATGGCCATGGATGTATTTTAGGTATTCGTACGAATATATTTCCGATAAAAGCATACTATTCTCAGAATGTTTGTTCTGTGGTGAATTCTTTCCGGCCGATAAAATTTCTACAACGACACATCTCTCAGACAAGCATTCTGCGACAAAAATGCACAATTTTACAGATAATTGGATAATAAAATATGTTATACAAAGTGCTGACACTAGAAAGTTAAAATGTACTATTTGTTGCAAATACTTAACCATTGATATTATTAGTGAAATATATTGTCATACAATTAAATGTCATCCGGAACAATTGCAATCGATTATTTCAAGAAAAGACACGCAAAAACTGTGGCAAAATTACAAAAATTTGCGAAATTTTCAAGTACAATGCCAACATTGCGATTTTCAATATTGTTATATCAATACAACAAACTTTATTGATCACGTAAAAAGAGAGCATATTCATGAATATAATTACGAAGAAACAAACGGGAAACAATGGCCGTTCAAGTTTTTCAACTTTATTAGCTCAACTACCGTACAATGTTGCCTTTGTATTGTTATTATTTCATCTTTTGATATAAATAAATTGGAAACTCACTTGAATCTGCATTTTTCTGAGAAACCGGATTACTTTATCGACTGCGACTGGATATGGAAATACTGTAAAAAAGTTGGTGATTTTGAAGTGGAATGTTTTTGTCAGAGGAAAATATCTCTTGACGTTTCGTTATGGTATTTTGATTATCACATTGCAGCTACACATCCGAACAGGCTGCCAAGTACACAGAGAACGCATGACATAGCTGAACCATCAGGAAGCCAACCAAACTGAAGAAAACAGGTAACAATATGTTTCCTTGATATTATTGTTATCATTTTCATGTATATGTAATTTTTTATTTTTTGTGAATCGCATTTTATTTAATAAATATGTAATGAGAAGAGCAATAATCATAAAATTTGTTTTTAATAAATATTAAAATATTTGCATAGGTTTATTCAGAGTTTGACAATGGAATGATGATAACGACGTTCAAGTAGCATCACAACCAACGATAACGACAATTTAAATTTTGACGTTTCAAATAATTTGAAGTACACGAGAGAAGTGGCATGCATTTTTACGTATAATTATTGCTGACGTATAATTCGTTTTACGTTTATAAGTTATTAATATGTTTATAAATTTATGTGTCACATAAATAACAAGTATTGGAATTTATTATTTACGCTTTAATATGTTTATAAATTTATGTGTCACATAAAATAACAAGTATTGGAATTTATTATTTACGCTTACAAATTTTATTTAAGTGTACTATGTTTATAATTTATAAACTATGTTTATAAGTTTATAAAGTAAGACGATTTTATGAATTAATTATCGACTTTTATGTAACCATAAAATTATCGGCAATTTATTTAAGTGCATTTATAAATATTTAATTTCTATTTTATTTTCTTATAAAAATCGTTGTTCATGCATTTTTCATATTTTATTCTCAAATTTATTTTAATAACTTCTGTAAAGATCGCCGCAAAGTAATATAATAATTGTCAGTAAAATATCTCAATTTTTAATTCTTTCAATTGTATTTTTTCGAAAATTGTGATATATAATATAATAAAACGACACGCATGTCTTCAAGATTAATCATGGTAGAAATTAGTTCCTTATTAATAAGATGGCGTTTGGAAACAAATATGATATAGTTTCTTTATTTAATTTCGTTTTAAATTCCAAATTATTATTTAATGTAATAATTTTTTAATAAATTTCTTTTGCATTTTTTCATAATAACAGAAAATAATATTAAATAATTCATTAATTCATAATAACAGAAAATAATATTAAATATATTTGATAATTAAAAACTTATCCAATTTTTGCTAAAAAATGTGCAAAATACAAAAATTATAACAACATGTTCTTTCTTTCATTCATCTTTAATTAAGCTTATTTAAGAATTAAACACACTTAACATAATGTAGAATTATGAACAATAAGGTTAATGAAATCAAATAATTTTTAATTTACAATAAGGTGCAATAAGAAACAAGTTATATATCGCGATGCAATTATAACTTTGATTGAAGAAGATATAGAGATGGCACTATCATTATTTCAAATATAAATTTTCTATTTTTTTTTTTATAGTAATATCCAGACATCTTGTATAATAAGTATGAATTATCATGTGCTGCATTTTAATTTTAACATTTTCAATGGGTTAGAGATTACAAATTAATGTACGGACATTTTTAAACTATACTTGTATCTAAGGTGCAACTTGCGAGAAACTAACCCTGGTAATGTGACTAGTACTGCTTGACAAGCAAAGCCAGTGCATGCGTTTTCTCTCCTTTTTGTATTATATGTATGATAATACCCTAAACTGATATTTACTTCAATATATTGCGTTTATTAACGCAATTGCTAAAAAGTTAGATTATAAAAGAATTAATATTTTCGCGATCCTTATTTTTCCTGGAACTTCCATTCAAAATTTGTTTTCAAAAAAATTCTTAAACCAGATAATTTTTTGAAAATGGAAGATTGCAGATTGATTAAAATTCGAATTTTCAGGTCAAAGTAAACTAACAGTAAAACTAGGATTATTTAACTGATCAAATTTTAATTGTTAAGTTATAATCTCGATCTCTAAAGTATAATCTGATATGAAATTGTCTAATTCACTACAGTAATCTTTTTTGAAGAAAAAATTACATTATAATTTGATATACTTGTGTTTTATAAATATTATTATACTTGCAACTCTAATATGGAAATACTATTAGGTTGTGTAATAAATAATGGTGCATTTTTCAAATAAATTTGTCTACTTTATACGACTGGCAAAACACATTTAAACTAACACAAAATTAAATATTTATTTGTAAATTAATTTGTCAAAGTTATAATCAATTGTACTCATATCGTTACTTTTCATCTAGATAATTACGTAAGAAAAAAAAAAAACAATTTATTAAAAAATTCCAAATTATTCATTAGAATCCAATATAATATAACGTCACAGATTAATAAGTTGACAAATAATTAGGTTACAAGCCTATTGCGTTTTTAATTAGTGGATTTTAATTTACAATATTCATCAAATATAATTTTTTTAATTATTTATTAATTAATTATTTTTAATTATTTTAAAATTCTTAATAAGCGAAATAAAGGAATACAATCAATAAAACACGCATCAATAAACTTTTAACTTTTTGCACACATACATATACATTACAGAGTAGAGAACTACATATGCATACTCTTATGTTCTCCCAATTAATGTATTAATTGTAATTTATAACAGTATCAATAAGTTCAGTAAATTATGCGTATTTCTTTGATATAGTTATTATCTCAAATTAGTTTTATTTGAGATGTAAATAATTAGTTTTGTATTATTTCTTAAAAAATTATTCGTGTAAATAATATGTTGTAACATCTTTTTCGCGGAATAGTAACTGCTATACCAATTGGGGATGATGTTACAGCGCCGCTTCATGACTTGGACTTCATAATTTCGACTGACGTATCAATATTTACATTCAATTGGTAAACCATACGTATTTCTTCGTTTTCTGGTACCGTATTCAATTGACTGCGTCCTGCAAGGAGAAACGGACACAATGTCAGAAATTAGTGTAACAAGAGAAAACGTGTGGCAGTATTACGAAAAAGTGTCGGATTACCAAGCAAAATGCAGATTTTGCAGGAAAGAACATGTTTACACCAATATAAATTTCAGTGAACATATAGAAAAGCATCCTTATATAATAGAATACGAAAAATATAAAAGACGACAAGAATGGCCATAGATATGTTTCAAGTACAACGATACTTTCACCTCACAATGTCTTTTCTGTTGTGAAAATTTCCGATCTAATTTTCAATTTTTAGCTAATCATTTAAAACAAAAGCATTCTAATAAAGTGGAGAGTTACGTAGTTTACAATTGGACATGGAAATATTTTGCGAAAGTTAATGATTTTAAAATTAAATGTACCGTGTGTATCTACGGTGAATCTATTTTGTCGTCATCCAATTTAAGGAAACATCTAGTACATAAACATTTAAAAGAATTAAAAAATGCACAAGAAACACGCGACATAGCTCTTTCGTTAGAAAACGTTCGGAATTTAAAAATTATGGAAATTAAAGAAAACATGTGGGAATATTATACCAAAGTGACGTATTTTCAAGTAAAATGCAAATTCCATAATACCCATCTATTTCCTAATCATAGTTTTTTACAACTTTATACGCATGTAAAACAAGAACATGAAGAAATATGTAAATGGGAAAAGGATCACAAAATTGAAAAATGCCCATGGATGTGTTTTAAGTATTCGCACGAATATATTTCCGATAAAAGCATACTATTCTCAGAATGTTTCTTGTGTGGTGATTTCTTTCCGGCCAATAAAATTTCTACAACGCGACATCTTTCAGACAAGCATTCTGCGACAGAAATGCGTAATTTTACAGATAAATGGATAATAAAATATGTTATACAAAGTACTGACACTAGAAAGTTAAAGTGTACTATTTGTTGCAAAAACTTAACCATTGATATTAGTAATAAAATCTATAATCATACAATTAAAAGTCATCCGGAACAATTGCAATCGATTATTTCAAGAAAAGACACGCAAAAACTGTGGCAAAATTACAGAAATTTGCGAAATTTTCAAGTACAATGCCAACATTGCGATTTTCAATATTGTTATATCAATACAACAAACTTTATTGAACACGTAAAAAGAGAGCATATTCATGAATATAATTACGAAGAAACAAACGGGAAACAATGGCCGTTCAAGTTTTTCAACTTTATTAGCTCAACTACCGTACAATGTTGCCTTTGAATTGTTATTATTTCATCGCTTGATATAAATAATTTGAAAACTCACTTGAATCTGCATTTTTCTGAGAAACCGGATTACTTTATCGACTGCGACTGGATATGGAAATACTGTAAAAAAGTTGGTGATTTTGAAGTGGAATGTTTTTGTCACAGGAAAATATCTCTTGACGTTTCGTTATGGTATTTTGATCATCACATTGCAGCTACACATCCGAACAGGCTGCCAAGTACACAGAGAACGCATGACACAGCTGGACCATCAGGAAGCCAACCAAACTAAAGAAAACAGGTGACAATATGTTTTCTTGATATTATTATTAATATTTATGTGTATAATTAATCTCTTACTTTTTCAAATCATATTTAATTTAGTAAAAATTTAATGAGAATAGCAATAACCAGAAAATTTGTTTTTAATAAATATTAAAATTAAATTTACATAGGTTATCCAGAGTTTGACAATGATATAAAGATGGAATGATGATAAGGAAGTTCAAGTAGCATCACAACCAACGACAACGGCAATTTTAATTTTGACGATTCAAATGATTTGAAGTACACGAGAAAAGTGGCATATCTTTTGACGTATAATTCGTTTTACTTTTATAAGTTATAAATATGTTCATAAAGTTATGTGTCACATAAATAACAAGTATTGGAACTTATTATTTACGCTTACAAATTTTATTTAAGTGTACTATGTTTTTAATTTATAAACTATGTTTATAAGTTTATAAAGACGATTTTATGAATTAATTATCGACTTTTATGTAACCATAAAATTATCGGCGATTTATTTAAGTGCATTTATAAATATTTAATTTCTATTTTATTTTCTTATAAAAATCGTTGATCATGCATTTTTCATATTTTATACTCAAATTTATTATAACTTCTGTGGAGATCGCCGAAACGTAGTACATTAATTGTTAGTAAAATAAGTCAATTCTTAAATCTTCCAGTTGTATTTGTTCGAGAATTGTGTTATATAATATAACCAAACACACTCATGTCCTCAAGATTAATCATGATAGAAATTAATTTGTTATTAATAAAATAGCATTTGGAAGCAAATATGATATGGTTTTTTCATATAATTTATAAAAGGATTTAAAAATGTTATTCATTGCAATATTTTTTTGATGAATTTGTTTTGCATCTTTTTACATCTTTTGATTTAATCGTAATAACATAAAATAATATTACATATATTCGATAATCAAAAGCTTATCCAATTTTTGCTAACCAGAAAATGTGCAAAATACAGAAATTATAACAACATATTCTTGTTATCATTTATTTTCACTTAAGCTAATAAAAATGTTAAACACACTAAGAATAATGTAGAGTTATGAACAATAAAGTTGATGATACCGAATGATTTTTAATTTACAATAAGATTCAATAAGAAACAAGTTGTATATCGCGATGCAATTATAAATTTGATTGAAGAAGGCATAAAGATAGCATTATAATTATTTTGAAAAAAAATTTTTTTTAATAAGAAATTATAATTTGTATATTTGTTATGGGTATTTCGCAGGCGACTCTAAAGCATCGACCAACTTGTTTCAATAATTTATTAAGAAAGCTATTTGAAAAATGCTGTAGAGAAATATAGACCGGTTTTTCATATTTTTCCCGATAAAGTTATTAAATAAAATTTCCATCATTTTTCTCGATATTATTCAATAGATCAAAAAATTTTCAAATATTTTCGGGAATGTTGCCAAACAAAACACACTTGCGCATTGTTTGCAACGAATTGCAGCGACCACACTGGCACAATCGCGTGTGATGAATGGTATGAGCATCTTTCGTATCGCAGCGCGTAGACGATCGGGCAAAAAGGTAGTCAAAGATGATGTACACGGCGGTGAACATTTTGCAAGATGCATGGAGCGAATGACTGCCGAGTCGAGATGCGAAACGTTTGTGATCAGAACATCGCTGAAATATACAATGATCACAGATGCACCAGTGTTAACTGCGAGAGCAAAGCGAAAAGAGCAATGCCGATCGTGAAGTTTTATATTCGCGAAGACAGACACTTCTCGAAATTTCTTCTATTTAAAATTTAATACGGACAAAGGCCCCTTTTCAATGGTATATTTTTGATTTTCACTACGGAGCAAACTACGATGGACTGTAATATGGCCGTCGCACACACGAAGCTTCATGTTTAGTAAGGAAAAATAGTTACGCCACAAAAAATATACAGTACCTTCATAGAAGACATTACACGCTTCACTACGTTATAAAGTCGCTGTGTAGCAGATTCTGAATAAAAGAATGAATTTTTTGCTTAACTCTAGGATGCATTATTTATTTTATATGAAATTTAAAAATTTCAGATAATCAAAGTTTATTATACTATTTATTTCGTCTTCCTGTTCATGTTAATGCATAAATTTTAATACATCCGAGTGATATGAGCAAATACCTGAATTTATTCAAAATTACATCACATAATCTCTGATAATAAAAATTAAAAGTGTATCCTTGAGTTAAGTATGTTCGAAAGGACAAGTGGGAAGGTATTTTTAAGGCAAAGAGGTGAAGAGAGGCAGGGTGTAATCGCTAAAAATCGACAGTTTGAACAGAATATCTATAATTCGTTATTCGTATTCGTAGAAGTTCAAAGTAAATCGAGGAGAAAAAGCACTTTACAGGAAATTCTTCTGGAATGTCACAATAAAAATTTATCGGTTTCGCCAATACGTTTTAATCGCCAAGGAGCATCGAGACGAGCGTTCACGTCTATTCACGCTCACTTCATCGACTGTTAGAATGTATCGTGTGATCCTTTTAATTAATTAGATATTTTTGTTCGCACATATATTGAGTCGCAGAGTCACACACTATCAAACACGGCAGGCTAAAAAAGTGAAAACAATCAACTGTCACATTGCTGAAATATGTTCAATAATTTAATTATACATTACATATTACGTTTCGACCTTTTTGCTTATAAATATACTTTGTTAAATATGTTCAATTAGAGAAATTTTGCTGCAAATTTGAGTCTCTGGAAAAAAGTCGAAAAATATAACTGACTCGAATTAAAAAATCATTCAATATTTCGAATACTCAACTGGAGTAAACTTCTGCTACTAAATCTATGTGCTAGATTTATCTTAAGAGTACAAATTGACGGCTATAAAATGCTTTGCTTTAGTTCTCGTTCATTATTAACTGCATAATAATAATAAAATAATAATAATAACGCTACTAAATTGTAAACATTAATATTAATAATATAATAACACTACTAATTTGTAAATTTTTAATATTAAATATAATCGAAAAATATCTATCGTTATTATTCCTGTACTTTTTCCTCTCTCGCATATTATTGTAACGCGCGGCTGATGATAATAATGTAGCAAAGTACAAACTCTCGTTGATATGGCGATCGTTTACATTAATCCGCGATCTACCTTCTCACGAAGCTTGCACATTTCGTCATACTGTTATCGCTCTTTGTTTGCATTCCATCATACGAACATTGGCAGCATCTCGAGGTTACACGTTACTTGAAAAGTTTTCGTTAGTGTTACAATTGCGTTGCGTATAGAATTCTCTTAAAAGGACAAAAAGTTTCTTTTAAAAATTACAATGGCATACCCAAGATTGCCATAAATGTTTTTTTTTTTTTTTCCCCCTTTATCATTCGGACCTCTCTCACACGGTTAATTATCTCCCTTATCACATTCTCTCCCTCTCTCGCACTCATTCCCTCATTCTTTCGGAAAATCTTGGTTGCTAAACCCGTTCGCGGATATCGCGCAGTTCAACGTTGCGTTGAAGGCATGCAGGACAGATCCTCTACAGCGCGATATCCTATCTATATCTCTTTGCTCTAGTGTACTTACTTTATATTAGTACTACCTATAGTACTTCGATATATATATATTTATATGTATATCAAGTAAAGGCCACGAGTGTATTCAATATAAAATTGCTAAAGTGTTATCGAAACTCGCACGTACGAAAATAGTTCGGTACGGTTTTACCGGTAGCAAATATATAGGCCATGCCATATCGTTGAGTCGCTTACGTTTAATCTGGGGTGACGCGGATTGCGCTGCAACGATGTTTCCTTTCTACAAGGGAACGATTGCAGCATGCAATTCTTTTACAAATATGACATTGTGTTCTACTGTGAATTTTTAAAAATAAGAAATTTCGGAAACATAAGTGTAAAAAAAATCTTGCACAATTGCCAAACTTTTTCCAACGAATACATTCTTTTTTCATTGGTGAGAAATACATCTGACAAATTTTGGAAACATCCCATGACGCAACGTTTGCGTTTCGTGACGTAGAATTGCGTGATGCATTGTTCCACTGTAAAAAAAAAAAACCACTGTTGTTCGAACAAATTCTCCGAGGAAAATTGATCGGAAAAGTGAACATGCCACTAAGTACCCTTTTGCTTGAGAGACGGTCGCTGCCCAGTACGAACTTCGAAGTGAATCGCACCTAAATTTCTATTGCTACGATATAAAGCACATCTCGATGGCCTCTATGGCCGATGTCCGGAAGTGGCCTACGACGGATCGCAGATCAGCTACTAGAGTTACCGCGCGAACTCCATGAAACGGCATTCGCGAGCGACTTCCGAACGCGTACACCCACCCTTCTGTCTACAAATATGGCCCGAATTAAGCGTACAAATAGAAGAAAACCGTCCGTTAACGGGTAACGATCGCGAGTGTCGTCGCGACGCATCAGCCGGGATGCGAGTGGTGATAGCAGTGCGCTGGTGCTGGTGGCAATATGTAAGGTGGCTTCTCTCGAGAGCGGATCCTTATCGGGGACGGACGATACGCGACGGCGGATGGATTAGGTAACCAGCGTTGTAGGATCGGCGTCTCGCTACGCGAATAAATGATCGGCAGTAATAATTGTGCAGCGAGACAATAGTAGCATCTCAATATCAGAGGATGTTGGACCCGTCAATACGCGGAGAAAGAGTTAAGTAACAATAACGGATTGAATTCAATATCGAAAATTCTCTTGCCGTTTCAGCCTGCCAAGTGCCCGCCTCCGAGATAGAAATAATACCGAATAATAAATTGTTACGCAATAATGTAAGTATTCAGAATTATTTCCCAATTAGCTAAGCGGATAGTGAAAATTTTCCACTTTCGCAACGAAGACACTTTAGTGCAAAAACAGCGAGAAAATTTACTCGCGAGGCTCGCGAGACACTCCTCCTGCGCGTGACGATGTTTCCGACAGAGCCAATCGTGCAGCATTAATCAACGTGGAAGCGTGTGTGGAAGACGGCGCGAGTGGTTCGCTCTCGTCGCGTTCCTCTCAAAAAAGAAGAAAAAAAAAAAAAAACTGAGAGCTTTGATTATCGGTTTGAGTGAAGGTATAGAATCGTTATCGAACTAACGTGCTAGACGCGAATATCATTCATAATTCCCGACGTACAAAAGTCACGGGCGCCATTCGCGCGGACTTGAGACGGGTTAGAGTTAAATTGCTCGAAAGTGTGTTATTTAAATGGTTCTATTTATACATCGACTGTGGAATCTATACCCCTCTATTTCTCTCCCTGTCTGTTTCCCTCTCTTTATCGCTTTCTCGTATATCTCATCGTCTTGCTACATTCCCGTGTCCGCGAAGTCGGGTGAGAAGTTGAAGGTAGGAAGAGACTTGGATAAGGTAAGCGGTTAAATGCACGCGCGTTAATTTACATGTTCTCGAACTGATCAACGCGGCGCTTGGTGTTGCCCTTGCGGATCTCGCGGAGCGTCTTGTACTTGTCGCGGCCCTGGCGCACATTTTCCCTGTGAATCTTGTCCATCACCGTCTCCTTCGTCTCGTCGCGCGACTGAGCGAGATCCTGCTTCAACGCCTGTCAACGAAAAGAGCGTTCTATTGCAGTAACATATCTCGCGAGGCATCACGCTTGTACACAAGGAATACATTTTTCAGAATTTAGAATTAACATTCGCAGAAATTTCGAGCAATCATAATTAAAACGAACGAAAATCAAAATTAATTGAAAGTAAAAACGGTGGCAGATAAAGTGCGCCGATATCAAATTGATCAATGTACCTTCAACTGATCATGGAGACGCTCGTTTCTCTCCGCCAAAGTGCGTCGTTCCTCGACAGGATCGATAATTGACTCATCGGTCGCAAGATCTTTAGTGTCTCCTCCTTCCTCGCCCTCTTCCTCGCCCTCCTCATTTTCCTCAACGTGAGGATCAGGCCTCTGAGCCTGATATTGTCTGTCAATTTCCTCTTGTCTTGACCTTGGAATAATAAGTAGTGTAATTACGTGTAATTACATTAATGAAGGTAAAGAAAAAGAAAAAAAAAACAAAACTGTTCATACTTGGCAGCCTCAAACTCAGCCTGTAATCTCCTAGCTTCCGCGTCCTTAGCTTCCACCTCGGACTGTATGCGTTGCACCTCCTCCTGCTTGGCTCTTATCTCCTGTTCGAGCTTGGCGCGTTCCGCAGCCTCCATTTCGTGCGAAAGCTCCAACTTCTCCATCATCGCCGTCAATTCCTACACGAAAGCGCGTGCATTGTAAAAAAAAAACTCTGTGTAAATGACGCATGCATAATTAGAATTACACGGTTAATTGTGAGATGGAGGGATAAAGATTAATTATTTTCAGTAATTTATCCGAGTGCAATTAAATTTGCGTACCTTCTGGCGATTCTCTAGCTCCTCCTTAGCAGCCTGCAGCTGCTTCAGCTGATCCTCCAAGCGCCGAATCATTTCCTGAGCCTCGCTCAGCTCGGCCTGCCGCCTGCCCATCTCCTCGGTCAGTTTTATTAGCCTCTCTTCGTACTCCTGCTGCTTCTTCTCCGCGCGTTCTCGAGCAGCAATTTCCAGTTGCAGTTTCTCTCTCTGTTGCTGTTTCGCGATCTTCTCGTCCCTGGCTTGAGCCTAATGGAAAGATTTCACGATCTTATTGCAATCTCAAACGACGTCAGGTTTTATTAGAATAAATTTTCACAGTCATCGAGCTATCTCACTCAGCAATTGCTGCAATTCTTCAGCTGTATTGCTAAATTATATTATTTTAATCCCTAAATAAATTCAATATGCTGCAAAGATTACGTAAAGGACTGTCAAATAATGCTAATCATCGACGATAACATTACGTAACCGACTTGAGATAAGTAAATGCATCAATATTTCACTTTTACTGATTTTGCAGCTCAATAAAATGTAATACCATTAATGCGTAATATCCGTACCTTCATTTGCTGTACGTCGATCGTGTCCGGTTTACGTCTACGCATGTAGAGCTCGTGATTGCCCATGCATAACGCGAGAATTCTCTTGTTAATCTTCACTCTATTGGCGAAAAACACAAAGTCCGGCGCCTTCTTGTCGATGGGCTTGATTATGAATTTCTTATCATTGAACGAGATATTCCGTATCTCCGACCAGGGAAAACCGATTTTCGGCGTGAGCTTATCGTCCTTCTCGTAGATGTTCAAACCTAAAGCATCCACACCCAACCAAAGGTCTGTGCCCTTCTTGTTGCGAATTTCAAAGTAATTCACACCATACATCTCTAAGTCCTACGGAAAGCAAAAATAAAGGAAAATACTAAAACCAGTCTAAAGACGACATTTTTCGTGTAGCAGCACATTCCGGAGCAGAGAAACACATATTCACGGAAAGAATACCGCCTCGCAGATAAACATCAATGTTACAATGCGAATGATTATAAAGTATAATTAAAATACAATGCGTGTGTATTAATGCACAGGTCTTCAGGAACGAATTGCACAACCAATAAGATTTTAAAAATTCACATCAAACAGAATTCATAAAATAAAAATCTCTAAAACCTGCGATATACATACAAAAATAAAATTATTATAAATACTAGTAAATTAGTAGAAATATGGCGGAACATCCACGTTCCTGAAGCCTTCTCTCGTTTTGAATCGATTGTATCTTGTACACGTCACTCAAATGGATACCTGAGCAATTTTCAGATACTCCATCATGGCGTCCTCTCGCAACATGCCACGGTGCTCTTGCCACCAGTTTGTGATCGAGCTGTCCCATTCATCCTTGCTCATCTTATGCTGATCTACGACGCGTTGTGGCAACAACCGATCGTTGGCCAGGAAGCCAGTGGGATGAATGCCCTTCTGGTAGTCCCCGTGTCTCGCCTGAACGGCGTACGAGGCCAGCAGGACAGATGTTTCCGGTGGGCAGTATATTTCGTCCGTGAGGATAGCATTTTTCACCTGCACCAAAGCGTTAATTAGTTACAGCATTAATATTGCTTGTTTAATTCTTTAAGTGGGAACATGGTTTAATGCGCCAATAAAATTAGAACACAAACTGTGCTTTACAAGAAGAAGAAATAAATAGGACACTTACAAATTAGCATGTGCAAAAATTTACTTTTCACAAGTTTCTTTAAAATAAGAATATCTTAAATGGCGAATAGAATTGCAGCGAAATCATTCCGCTTAATATATCTATTCGGCTCAACTAAGCAAAAAATTAAGGCGCGCTCCTTGTGCTCGCGTATCCGCCGCAGAAAATGAGACGATGAGAAGAAACGAATCTGATAAACGAACGGTACGCTGGTTAGGCGAATAAATGAGCTGCACTGTTATGCCAACTCTGAATTGCAATTCTAAGTCTGAAAATGGTTTCGAGAACCGAAGCAGCAAACTGAAAAATGTTAAATCACGAACGATTGATAGAAAAAAAAAATATCTAACGATTTCTTACCTGTAGATAAAAAAGTCGAAGTGTGATGTCCTGTATCAGTTCCTCGGCGACGTCCTCAGGATAGAATTTTGCACGGAATTTGAACTGCAGTGGGGTCTCCTTCTTGACTTCCTGGTTCATCACCTGCAAACATTTGAAAAAATAAATCACTCGGTTAAAACTAAATCCCTCGCTTCTCGAGTGAGGATCACACTTGACGCTCAAACGTGTATAAAAGCGTGCACAGTGTTCATGGATCGCGTTATAGGATAAATAATTGGACATGCGAACGATGGTGGCGTGAAAATCGTAGATAAATATATGAGATACGTATACAAACTGCGGAATAATAAAAAGATATTTTTAATGCATCGCGAACCTTGAAGTATTTTGATTTCTAATAATACACTGCATTATTTGCAATACATTAAACGTATAAATTATTTTGATGTACTTCGATATTATTCAGTATACACTAAATTTAATAAATAAAGTAGAATATTTAGAATTTTTCTACTGCATATTAAGTTCTCTCCTTTTCCTCATACAATTTCCATCTTTATATCCAAGCTCCTTTCTATATTAAGATCATATCATCGCAAACAAATTCGCGCCATAGCGTAAACGTTATTATCAGAGAAGTCGTCATAATTACGCAATGCGCGTGATATCTGCATTACTGATACGATCGGAGTTAAGCATCTCCCGCCATATCTTAAATGCAGATGACTCAAAAATATTCTCCCTAATTGCAAAATGTGTAAAATACATTGCTACAAAAGACATTCATATTTTGTGCTTTGGTGAACGCATACGTTTGGCAATTGCGCAAAAAGTCAAAGAATGTTATCCCTCTTGATACATATTTAAAACAATATGTATTAGTAAAAAAAGTAAGAAAATAAAATAATGGAATATTTACCTTAGTTAAAAAAAAATTAAATTCTTCGATAATCATTTTTCTTTAATTGCTTTTCAACTACAAAATTTCATCAACTTCCTAAATGGAACTGACAATCTTTTCGCGGGCGGAGACGACCTCATTTCCAAACAATTAAACGCGATATAATCGATTTAGGTTATTGGTTTTATTAAAGGCACTCAAAATGATAACTATCGCTAAAATTATCAAAGTGTTTGAACGCGAAAGTATTTCAAACAGCGATACCACAAGCGACAAATGCGTTTGCTTTAGTTACTCATTGTTCTCGGAGAAGCATGTACATATACCGTATTCAGGTATATCGCTAAAAGAAACTTACGTCATGACGTTAGCTTATGTTCTTTGCATTGTCGACTACTTATCTGTAATTAGTGACGAGTAAGAAAAATATTGCGCGAAACAGTGTTACCGATGCACCCAAATGATGCGCGAGATAAGCCTCGAGAAGTCATTTTTTGATAGCCATCGCGATGATAATGAATGCATTCTTCGTAACTCGAATGCAATGTCTAAAAATACTAATATTATATTATATAATAAATGTGGCATTATATAATGTATGCAGTGCATACTATTTTTGAACTCAAGTTGAAGATGAAAATTACATAATGTAAGATTTTGCTATATCATTTCTTGTGCTTCTTACAACTGCCAAACACTAATGGTTACAAGTCATATTAATTAATAAAGATGTAACGTAATTTGCATATTACGACTATTATTTTGAAAACATTCAAAAACACACATGTGAAATTGTTGCACTACTTGACGTCGATTCGACGCAAGATAATAAAACGTAAGAAAATAATAAATAAAATTACGTCAATTATCAAATCACAATAACTAAGAAATACAAAAAATACGAAATTTCTAAACTTGTGTATTGATATAGCAAAAAAAAGACACCAAATTAATCACAAAAATGATCTTAATATGCTTCTAGCAACATTTTATCAAATTTAGCATTAACAAAAATATTTCCTGTTTTTCTCTGTCAACAATTTATGTTTATACTATTTTCTAATTTAAGATAATATTAAAATAACTCATTAATTTACGATAATATATTTTTTTCTGCTATATACTTGTGCGTTACACAACACCTGTATCTTTGTACGTGAATATACAAAGTGAAAAAAATTCGAAGTGCACACGCTTTGTGATAAAAAGCGAAGCAAGAGAGATTGATTTATGTATCTCTGAATAATATGAATGTATGAATAACTAAAATATAGTGCTCTCTTCTGAGTAAGGAAGATTAATAGGAAGTGTATTTATCATCCAGTGATTAATATGACTAATAATATGTCAGACATACAATCTGGGAAGTGAAAAATCACTGATGATCTGTTACTTTTGGTGTTGAGAGCTCATCAAAATAAAACGTGAATATCAAGAAAATTCTTTTGTAAATCTTACATGACAGATTTTTCGAAGACCGCACGGAACCACCTGCAATTATTCGCCAAATGTCACATATTGCCCTTACAATCACAGTATTATTGGTGCATTCAGTCGAAAGAGACGGTTTCCATGTTTATATTAATGACACGAAAGTGTACAAGCTAAACTTCGTACGAAATTGCAGATGCCGCGTGTGAGCAGCAATTTATAAATAATACACTGCAAGTTACGACAATTCGAATCTCAAACAAATTCACTTCTCATCGCTAAGTGATTTAAAAATTGTGACAACTAAGTGTTTCAGCACACACACACACACACGCGCGCGCGCGTGGGTTATCATATTGTGCGTTACGTACATCCGTCAGATGGAAATAACAAGAGATAATTAGATTACGGGAAACTCGGTGTGTATTTTTCGCAGAAGATGCAGTTTTACGCGAATAAACAAATCGTCGGAACGGGCTCGCGTCCGTGCATTAGGCACGTTACAAGGACGGCATTTAAAAACTCACCAGTCATGATTATAATCATGATGTAACGGCACGGAAGCGCCTTCTTATCAAATAACATATGATTTGTTGTCGCCGTTTTCACGAGAGACGCGATAAATATAGTCAAATCAACGTCTCGTCTTTGACAACAAATATACGTCATGACACATCTGTCTCGTCACAGAAATGTGCATTTGCAAAAAGTTCGGATCTTAGACCCAATGTAATATGTATAATTTAAAAAAAAAAAGGGGGGGGCGCTAGAACTTGTATCGCTAAACGTGCATCACTTCTCTCGCCGGCATGCAACACAATTCATAGACGCTGAGGCAAACTTACCCTAGACAAGAACGAAAGTCCACTCTTCCAGTTGTTAGTATTGCGGTTGGCATGCGTTCAAAGAATAAAAATACGGTAAAGTTAAAGTATTGCGGTGTAACTCGGCCACGAACTCGTCCTTGAAATTACTGTGTATCGGTATTCGACTTATCGTCAGATTTACGGCAAGCCAGATAAACAGGATATCACCTGCTCTGCGCGGCGTATAATGACAATAATTTTAACGACCGTCGTGGACACGAGGAGGAATTTAATTCGAGTCAGCAGAAGGTGTCGTCTTACATCGAACGTAAATCTTAATTCTAAACGACATGACGTTTTCCTTTTTCCTAGTAGTATAATAAAAATTGTAATAAAAATTAACATTGAATTCAACAAGTTTTTCTTCAAGATTTTTGCCTTTTATTTTTATGAAAAAATGATTTCCTGACAAATTAAATTCTAATTTCTCAATATCTTCGCATAAAAAAAGAAAGTTAATAATGTTGGATTGATCAAAGTTCCTTCGGTAAATATAAAAGGCAAAAATCCGAAGGAACTTTCCGATCAACCCAATATTTATTATTAACTTTCTTTTTTATGTGGAAATATTGAGAAATAAGATTGGTTTGATGGACGCAGAATCGTTTCTGCCAGCTGGCAAAGAGTAACTATTTCAACGCCTACATATAAATAAATTAATTAATTTCTCAGATTAAGTGAGTTAAATCCGCCATTAAAACTACACGTATTCATGCATCATGAATAAAAGAATTTCTCGCGGATTCACACGAAAATCGCCGACTATTCAGGCCAAAAATAATGTTCGTCATCCCTAATGGCGTCCTCTAAATCTGCTGGACACCAAAAATAACTTTGAGCTACACATTTTTCAATCTCACGCTCATCGATAAAGCAAACCATGTCAATAAATCAGTTGCCAAGATGAATAAAAATTATCATTGTTCAAGATTATACATGTATTTAATGCAGATAATAAATAATTATTGACATTAAATACTATCTTGAGATTTTTGTCAAAATTCTGTTTAAACAAAACCTAGATAAAATAATTTAAAAAATACAAAGCAATTGCTCTAAAATGTAATTTGAGAGAATATTCAATATTAAATACATTATTTATCGTTAGATAAAAAAATGTAATTTCTCTAATTTTGCTCTCAATTTCTATAATAAGAAAAATTTGCATTAGATTGAAAGAGGTATCCATATGTTCGATTTTCTCCAAACGTCTAGCGTCCCAAATCGAGGTCGCAGCATTCTTTGCATTTAAAATAACGGACTGATCTCGTTTTAGCCTCCAGTTTCAACCTTCAGACATTTGATCTTCTTCGATCGACGTGATACCACAATCCGGATTTGCACGCCTATTCTAACGCGGCCTCACAGTAATCCTACTAGCAAAAATACGGCAGGAGAGAGAGAGAGAGAGAGACGCGAAGAATGGATCGCGTGATGACACGCGGAAAATGCATGTACAGGTCGCTAGATCTTGCAATGTACATTACATAACAGTCCATAGTCCGCGACCGAGGAGCGCACCTGTGTGAACTGTCTTTTTCGATTTGTAACCTGTTGCAAAGTCTGCGATGATCAAGCGTTCCGGAACCAGCCAAACGCCTGACACGGTGTCCTAAACGTCCTTGAAATGACGCATCCGTCGTCTGCTTCGGAAAGCGAGTTAACTGCCTTTATTGTTTACGACCGCTTTAACACGTGCACGACAATAAAACTAGATATGTCAGACTGCAATTTAAGAAATAAAAGCGGAAAAAAATTTATCGCTTTTTCTGTGGATTTCGTTATCTTACAAATTACGAAAAATTTACATAATATATAATTCATATTGTTTTTCTTCTTATCCAATTTTAATTCATTTCGAATGATGAAGGTGCCTATGTGTCTTTCAGTGTTCCACGCTTAAGAAATGACATTTGTTTTGGATATTTTTCCGTCGCTAAATT